CTGATTCTTTTCATTTACTGTATAATTTCCTGTAACATTATTCCACAACTTTCCTCTTGAAGATGCTGACAAGAATACAGTAGTGAGCATCCTATGAAATGTTCACAGCATGTCATAAAAAATATTATTAGAGCCAGGAAGTTGCTATCAGCATCATGGAGAACATGCTGCTCACTGAACAATAATAAAAATCATCCAGCTAACAGAAACTCAACTCTGCTCTCAAGAAGCCAAACTCTGAAATAACAGTTTTGCAAATATACATATATAAAGCATTTATGTTTAAACAAGCTGTAAGTGTACACAGAGACACTATGTTGCTCAATCCTTGTCTTCCAGAGAAGGCAAATGGTGGAAAAATGATTCTTAGTCTCAGTCCTCGTAAAAATGCTGAAGAACAATAGCTCAGTGATTCTCACTATAGGAAAAGGGGAATATTTCCTTAGGGGAATAAAAATATCTGAGGGCCAGGAGGAAGGTATGTATAGCACCCAGCTGCCAGAAACTTGATTCTGACTAATGGTGACCCTGTGTGTGTCAGAGTAGAACTGTGCTCCATAGGGTTTTTAATGGCTGATCTTTTGAAAGTAGATTGCCAGGCATTTCTTCCGAGGCACCTATGGGTAGACTCGAACTGCCAACCTTTCAGTTAGCAACCAAGCACATTAACGGCTTGCACTACCAGTGACTCCTGGCTGGAGCCACAGGAGTTTAAAACAGTTGACCAACATTAGACGAGGCATTATGAATCCAGCGGTAACTACCGCCAGAACAGCGTCTAGAAGCAGCGTAGGAAAGAGACATAAACTGAGGAGGCAGAGGCAGACTTTGGTCAGACCTGCCTTGAAGACCAGAATTTTGATTTCAGCCCCTGGCTGGGATGGTATCACAGCAACTTCAAGGAGATTACTCAACAGTTTTTCAACAGCTTCCCCAACCCCAGTTTGGTACCCTTCTTTTCCTACGTTGTATTTCATGCTATGAAAAAGGAGACAGAGGAGCAAAACCAAAGGAAAACAGCTTTTTACTGGCACCACGTTGATGTAACAACCTCTGACAGAGGCTTTAAATTAAGACTCTGCAGGCTAACATTCTAAAGCCATAAATCAGACTGGAAGCGAGACACAAAGGGCGGGAGGAGGAACCTTCCCCAGGGGCAGAGCAATGATGAACCTGACTTCACACCATCGGGGATCCTGAAATCTGCAGAATGTGGGAGGAGTCACTGAAGATGAGGGGAGGATCCGTGGTTTAGACCCTGCTGGTGGGTTTCTGGAAATCCTTGAAGGCTGTTCTGAAATGCTTTCAGTCAGCTTCCATAGGGGCTCTGTGAAGTTCTATGGAGAATAAACTCATTGGAAAAACAGCGGAAGGTTCAGGTATGAAATTAGAGTGAAGGCTAAATGCACACAGTTCTTGCAAGTCCAAAGGCCCGTCTAAGGAAGACAGGATTTGCAATAATAACACTAACCATTTGCAAAGAGTACACAGTTTGTCTTCTCAAAACAAAAAAAGAAAAGAAAATCTCCCTTAAAATCATCTTTACACAAATAATAATAAAATAAATATTCATTGAGTAATGTATGCCAGGCTCTATACTAAGGGCTTCACTTCCTAATCTTTTTGTCCATGTGAGTTAGACATTGTTATTATACCCATTTTGCAGATGAGGATGCTGAGGTTTGGAGAGATTCATGAATTTCCCAAGTTCACTCAACTGTGAGAGAAGAGAGTTGTGTCTTTAGTTAGGAGCTTCTGACAGTCAAGCCTGACTTTTCTAACCCCTAGACAGTATTGCCTCTATTTGCTCTTGGAGGAAAAACTAATTTATTTTTATAGTGTGAAGTTCTTCCAGGTCAGTTGCTTTGCAAACGACCCCAAATCTGCTGCATTCAAAACCAAATGAGTTAAAAAACATACTTGCCTGTTCAACATAGCACAGCTTCTTCTGAACCTAAGCACACCACCAATCTTGTACCTGAGTATTGTTTTCTCTTTGCCTCTGAACTGGGAAACTTAAAGCTAAATTTGTAACTCACCCAGTATGACAGAACTGTAAAACAAATAAGTACAGCAAACACTTGAGTGCTTACCATATGCCAGGCTTTGTATTAGGTGCTTTACTTGTAATAACTCATTTCAAGCTCATTACAAGTCGTGGACACAGAAACACAGTCAGGTTGAGTACTCTGCTTAAGGTCATAGAGCAAGGAAGTGGCCGAGCTGGGATTTCAGCCCAGGGAGTCTGCTCCCTTCACCTCTCTGCAGTATCGTCTCTCATTGCCATTAAAAACCCACTGCCATCATATCGATTCTGATTCATGGTGACCCCATGTGTGTCAGAATAGAACTGCTCCAGAGTTTCAATGGCCGTAATCTTATGTTTCTTCCACAGTGCCCCTGGGTGGATTCAAACCACCAACCTTTTTCAGTTGGTAGTTGAATGCAAACTGTTTGTACCACCTAGGGAACTTCTCATTGCCATAGGTTATGAATTTTTATTCTAACCTATTTTCTTTTACTCAGTGTAGCAGATCGTTACAAAATGGTGCCCAGCAAATTATGCCTCCTTGTACACGTGCATTGTGTAGACCCCTCCGCATTGACCCTGACTTGCTTTGACCAACAGAGGCTTTAAATGAAGACTCTCCATGCTAACGTTCTAAAGCCATAAATCAGACTGGAAGCGAGACACAAAGGGTGGGAGAAGGAACTTTCCCCAGGGGCAGAGGCATAGCAAGGGGGAGGTGGTTAGAGGGGTGCATTTGCCTCCAGGCACAAGTCCAAGGGGGTGCCACATGAGGCCCGCCAGCGATTCACACATCCCCCCAGTCAAGGCGGTGGGGGACGGTGGTTGCAAACTTAGAGATTGTCCCTGGGTGCTCTTTACCCTTGCTACACGTCTGACCAGGGCACAGCAATGATGAACTTGACTTCATAGGCAAAGGCCTTAAGGGGCCTGGCAGCTTTCACTTTCACTTTTTTGGAAAATCACCCTGAGGCTGCCATATAAGGAAGCCAGGTCAGCCTAGTGAAGGATGAGAAGCTACTTAGAGGGAAACTGAGGAGCTCAGCCCACAGCCAGCACCACTGCCTGGCCTGTGAGTAAGATCATCTTGGACATTCCAGCCCAGCTGACCCTCTAGCTGGTTGAGTTCAGAAATGAGTTCAGGTAAAACCAGTCAGGAACCACCAAGCCAGCCCACAGAAACATGAAACATAATAAATCATTTTACTGTAAGCCATTAAGTTTTGGTCTGGCTTGTTATACGGCAGTAGACAATTGAAACATCTAGACTGGTTCAACTTTCTGTTTATCAATTTACTCCATAATTATTTTTGTTGCCCCCTCAAACCCTTCAATCAATCAATCAGCTACTCCTGCAGTGCTTCTCCAGACATCATGCACACTCTACTCAGTAAGTGTTGTTGTTATTGGTTGCCATCAGGTAGGCTCTGATTCATGGTAACCTTATGTATAACAGAACGAAACCTTGTCTGTTCTTGTACCATCTTCATGATCATTGGCATGTTTGAGTCCAAGGTGCATAAGCGAATTGTGTATCTGAGGATCCAGAAGTCAGCTCCATCATCGGGACCATTGTCACTGTCTTCCCTTCTCAGTTACCCCCAAATGAATTTTAAAATTCATGGCTATCAGTTTTCCCAGGTACCAAGAAGTCACCTTCCAGAATGTAAGACAGGGATGGGTGGTCTATTTTAAGAGTCTCTCCACGACCGTTAGCTCAGAGAGGGAGCTCGCCAGAAGTGGGCGCTTACTGTTCTAAAACACTCAATCTCTGTTTAGGAAAGT